CTCTATTTGTCAGTATTTCTATGCCGCGGATCCCCCATTCAGCAGCCGCCTCTTCGCCTCCATCTTTCAGGAATGACTCTCATCCTCCTCTTCCCCTCCGAGCCCCGCCCACTGCAGCTGAGCCGCCTCCCTCCCCCCCCCGACCACCACCAGCCTCCTCAGCAGCAGCAGCGGCGGCGGCAGCAGCATCTCGCGCTCACGCCTGGCCTTAGAGCTCCGCCCCAAACCAAGGACCGCCCCTTTTTCAGCCGGGCCGGACCGGTACCGGGTATGCAGCGCCGGGCAGAGGGGAGCGGTACATTCCTTGTCCGGGAGCCGGGCCCATCCGCACGGGAGGCCCGGCCGTCCCTGGTCCCAGCGGTCCCGCCCCAGGGCCGGCTCCACCGCCGCCACCGCTCGGAGCTACAGCCTGGAAGCCCGCCCGCGCCGCCATCTTCCCTCCCTCAGCCGTACAAAGCAGGCGGGGAGGGGAGGGGGAAGGCGGATGTGGGGGTTTGGATGATTTAGTAGGGCTTTACCATAGACGCGCAGTCTGCGGGAGATAGAGCGTCGCCGGATTCGGGTTCGCGTGGAAGGAGGGAAGCGCAGAAGAGCCGCGCTGGATTTCCTGCCTTTTGTTGCAGAGGCTGCAGCTGCAGCTCGAGCGTGGGATACCTCGCTTGTCGTAGAAAGGGCTGAGACAAGTCTCTTAGAGGCATTCGCCTGCCATGGATGGATCTCTTCCGTGGACTTCTCTTTCCAACGACTGTTGTTCAGTCGTTAAGTCGTAAAATTTCAGGTGGTGAATTTGGCTTGACTCCCAGTCCTGAAGTCTCTCATTTCCACCGGGGTAAAGACCCTCAGTTCCACTGCTTGAAGTGCGTAGCTAAAACTACGGACTTTTGGAAGGGGTTTAACTCAGCTAAATTAAATCCAGCGAAGGAACATTATTCTGCCGTTGAGGCAGATGAACAAGCCGATCTCCACGTGATGGATCCATGAGCTGCCAGGGTCCTTGTACAGGGATTATTCTCAGTTTGTGCTAAAACTCTAGTAATCTCCTGCTACTAACACAATCAGTTTTGGAAAGTCTGAATACTGCAATTGTCGAAAGTGTTTTTAAAAAGTTTTTGTCATGTATTACAACAGTGATTCAGTAACTGAAGCCAGAGTCGATGAAACTATATTCTTAGGATTGCAGAGGCAATAGGTGTTTTGAAACTAATATAGGCCCTCACTTTTAATGGGGTTTCTTTCCTGCTAAAAGGTGTGTTTGTTGGGACAAATATAACCACTCATTTTCTTTCCAAATCCAAATCCATGAGTGATATTTAGAGTTTACAAGTAAGAATGCAACAGTATAATACATGCTTCATAAAATTAACCTTTACCTCTCAGGCCCAAGCTGTGTGCACAGCTGCCAGACATTCTTATTTATGCTATTCTTTCAATCTGAATTCTCAAATATAGGTTCCATGGCCTAAATTTAAGGCATCTCTACAATCTCCAATTTTTGGTTCTTAGCCCGATGAAGAGCTTTGGAAAACTTGAAAGCTTGTGTGCTTTTTGGACAGTTTGGTCTCAATAAAAATACTATCCAACTCTGAATTTGGATAGCAGTTGATATGGGTATTTGTTTTCTTTAATTTGGATTGCTTTACCAAATCCCAGTAATCCAGATAAATAAATCCCATCAGGAATCCCCAACCCAAACCGTATTTGTACTGAATCTATTAAATATTTAGGTATGTGTATACCAAAGGATATAACTCAGCAACATGTAATATAAATAAAATACAGAGAGGTAATCCAGATAAATAAATCCCATCAGGAATCCCCAACCCAAACCGTATTTGTACTGAATCTATTAAATATTTAGGTATGTGTATACCAAAGGATATAACTCAGCAACATGTAATATAAATAAAATACAGAGAGAGGTTTCTTCAGATAACAATAGATGGGAGTCTTTAAACTTCATCCTTTGGGGAAAGGTGAACACTCTCAAAATGAACATTATTCCCAGATTACTTTATATTCTGAGAGAAGTTCCAGTCTTTATATGTGGAAAATATTTTCAGAAAATAAATTCCAGGAATCCCCAACCTTTTTGGAGCATTGAACATATTTGACGTACCGAGAGTAGTCAAATAAAAAACATACCGTGGTGCAATCAGCCCCCCCCCCCCCCCCCACACACACTTACCAGAAGGCTCTGTGCCATCCTCTCTCTCCTTGTGGCCTGCTCTGCCAAAATATTCTCAACCCCCAAGATACTACCTTTTGTGACACACCACATACACAAGGCAGACACTGGGATGCATCTATTCATTTTTATTGAAGTGTGTACAGATGTTGCTTTGCTTTGTGACTTACCTTCTGTGAACCTAAAAGGTATGAAAAGAAAATGTCCATAAACAACAAAGTCAGGATCCCTGCATCCTGTGATTGTTGCCTGCCTTGTCCACAGAAATTACATGCAATTGGGTCTTGCTGTAGTTCTTTTGTGATTGTTCAGTTTTATTTCCATCTCTCCCTTGTCATATGCCTGTCTCACTGCATTCTAGCTTAGCGTTTCTTATGTTAAAGACTGCTTTTTCTTGTCATCTGCCAAAGGCAGTTTGGGGAGACCAACGTTACTATTTGGGTGCATATGCTTGCATCTTTCCTATTCACATAAGTTGTAGCAACTTTCTCTAAACAGTGCTTTGCTGATTGAGGATGATGGGAATAGTACTCCAACATATTTGGAGGGCACTCAGTTAGGGAATGTTGAGCTATAGACTAGAATGTTGAGTTCTGGAGCAGCAGAATTTGTGGTTAGGTCAAAGAAGTTACTTGTTTGTTATTCTTGTTTGTGTGGTGATTTAACCATTTCCTCTGAGGTTTTCTGCCCCAATCACATTAGCTTCTAGCCTGCTACTACAATTAAGTCAAGGTATGCATAACTGACACAGTAAGATAGATTTTTTTTCCTGCTTATTCCTGCTTCTTTTCCCCTTTCCTTCCTCTCTCTTCTCATATTTTGTAAAACGTGTAGGGTGCAATTCCTAATTTGAGTGGCCTGCCCCCATGTCAGGTTGGTAACATATGTAAATAGAGGCCATGTGAAAGAGACATACTGTGCAGCTAGAGATGTGAATTTTCTGGAATATTTTGAATTGGAACATTTTTTTGTGCAAATAAGTATGAATTGAGTTAGCATATTTGTCTTAATTTCCGTAGTGTTTATAAGTATTTGAGCTTCATCTTCATAGCACTGTTGGCATTCTTTTGGCTACAGTATTTGTGCTTGGCAGTTTTCTTCTTACCTTCAGTGACTTCTTCATAAAGATGCTACATATGTGTCGGGCATCTTTAACTTAGGCATTATGACTTGGGCTGAAATGGCAACCAGCAGATCAAATTGCTTTCAGCAGACAATCGAGGATGACCATGGAGAGGCCAGGGTTAAGACAGTGCACATGCCTAACATGCTTGAAAAACCACCTCTGGCTTCAAGTCCTCTCTGTGACAATATCATTCATTCTTGGCAGGCAGGGGCTATAGAAAAAATACTTGTGTCATTTTTCTATAGTTAGCTGCTTCCTCTTCTCTCTCCTAGCTGTTGAAACCAGTAAGGAAAGCCATGAAATGGCTGTTTTTCAGTTTTTTGGAACAAACTGAAAGGCAAATATACAACTTTGAAACTGCTAAACTTGCCCGCAGCGTTTCCTTTCCAGCCCACATCTCTAGGAAGGCATCTGGCTCTTTGGGAGGGACAATATATGTGCATCCATCTTTGTTATATGAATTTGCCAATGTTTTCAGGACAACTTTTGAGGCCCTGCTGGCAGGTGTGCTAGTGGGGGTGAAATCAAGTTGGAGCATGAGAAATGGGCTCTTCATTACATATCTGCCTTGTGGAACTGTTGGCCTAGCCCAACACTAGCCCATCTTCTGTGTCAAAGATGAACTTATTACTTGAAGGCTAATTTCCAACTTTTACTACCTAGAGGCCTGGCCCTCAGAACTACTTCACATCAAATGTGTATATGGGCCCATCAGTCTAAAACTTTCATGGGCTTTAGAACATTATTTAATGTTGCTTTTTCCCAAAAGTTTTATGGTGATGCTGCTTCAGATGCTGTATCAAATACATGTGCTGATTTGTAGTGGCATAATGTAGGGATTGTTATTTTATGATTGTGCATATTGTGCTTTAATGTAAGCTCCTTTGCAATAATTACAATGACTGACTGGCTAAACACATTAAAAAGAATGCACTGATACTAACCATTTGCCTTACGCTTCCCATTCTGTAAGTTTCTTGAGTAGCCTGGTAGCTGTCATGTGGACAGCCATCATGCAAAAGTACTATATTTTGTTAAAATCTTTTGTTGACTCAGGACTCATATATTTTCCCAAATCTATAAAGCTAAGATTCAGCAAGGGAATGCCCTGGGCATCCAAAAATGCCTTTTAGTCCACTCTGATTTAACCCACACTTAAGCTAATCCAGGATTATAGAAGGTTTTGAATCCAGAGTAGGATCATATGGGATTATTAGATTTAGCTCTTGAGTTCTTTTTAGTAAGCCATTGTTTATATAGTTCTTCCGAGGTCCAGCATTAATACTGATTTAAACTCTGGATAGCATAATTATGCCTGGAAATTACCATTTTTAGTACATGTGAAAATAAGAGTCTCTGCATTCAGATGAAAGTCCATTGTTCATTGAGGGGCTACGGTTTAAGCCAAGCAAGCATTCATAGGATTGCAGGTTTAGTTTTTTATCTTATACCATATTTATGTTGCAAAAGTAATTACATATGGAGACTTAGAGAGAAGTGTTGAAAATGCCTTTCAGTCTCACAGACTGAATGAAAAGAACAGTGGCCTCGCTTAATGCCTATTAGACTATAAGGAGAGCAATGGCTTTTCTTAATACCACACTTGATTGTGACTTCCACAGTCTTTATCTGTGCAGCAGAAGTGGAAAATATCTGGCATTCCAGATGTTATTGGAGTTTAGTTCCCATCAACCTCAGCTAACCTGGGCAATGCCAGGGGTGAGTTGTAGGCAAACAACAGTATCTAGAGATCAGATATTTTCAGTACCTTCAGATTGTTTTATTGGCAAAATATTTTCTCCATTCAACTGTGTGCTGGTGGACAGCACTGCTAGGTTATTTTATTTTGCCCAAAATGCAGCTAATGAAAAGTAGAAACCAGTGCTTTGAAAATGATGGCCTGAAGTGTAACAGCATAGACATATAAGATAAAGGCCATAAGCAGGATAGAAAAAGCAAATCAGCAAAGTTGCAACTGAATAGCTTTGTGAATATTAAAAGGGAAGAATCCCAGACTTATGTCTTCTTAGTGGAGGAACAGGAAAAGCAAAACTTTTAAGCAAATGAGAAAGCATCTTAATAACTGACAAAGAGAAATAGGTGTAACTTGAATGAACAGCTTATGCGTGAAGAAGGCAAAAGGATGGCCTAGAATCACTAGGTATTGAAGACATACTTTATCAAAATTTTAGTGTTAACAAATGTGCCATCTCACTGCCCATTTGTGACTCTAGGTCATCTGAGAACAAGTAAAAAAGATCCACTTCCAATATAGATCCTTGAAAGGCCTAATAGTTTACATCATCAACCTCTAAGGACAGTAAGAATTCAGTCTGTTTTGGGCATCAGGCCAAATCTGATTCATGGTTCTGAAACTTCTTTGTCAAGAAGAGCACAGGAAACACCAGTGGGATGCCCTGAGCTAAACGCTGCTCATCATCAAACGGTCTAGATTGGCAGGTGACTCAAGATCATCCAGTTTCAGCTGTTCCAGGCAAGCCACTAGGAACTGGAACGTTAAGAACCTGGTGGGGTGCCGTTTATGATATCCATTTCACCTATTCCAATCAGGTGTTGAGACAACAAATTTTACAATTCTCAGCCTGCGGATGGTGTTAGGTTAAGGAAGGCTGCCCCTGTTCTGATCCTGCTTATATTATCCAATGTGTGTTCTATAGCTGTAATTATCCATCTCATTTCTATGCTATTAGCACAAGGGGGACAATTAATTCCGAGTGGCAAATTGCAGTGAAGATTCAGAGGACAAAGTAAAGTCACTAATGATATTAGATGATATATAGATGGTGATTGCCACTGCTGGGCAGTCTAAATGTATTTTTATGGGAATGTGTGGTATGCCAGCAGCATACAAAATATAGAGCATTTCCACTTACGGTACTGTAGTGACATTTAGGCATAAAAAGTACAGCTGCCTCCTAAAAGGATAATGACATTAACATCAACTTCTAAAACGACAGGGTATATAACAAGAGCTGTATTGAATCAGATTAATTCAGGACAGCATTTTGTTTTCCACAATGATGGATGACACCATGAAGTGCTCAAGATGTGGGTGAAATGATCTCCTTCCACTCATGTTCCCATAAATTGGTACTGAGAAGCTTACTACCCTGATAGTGGAGCTAATATGCAGCCCCTGTGGATGTGTGCACAGGACATACATAAAATCATCATGATTTACTTAATGCAGTTTTCTGAATAACATGATATCCCGAATCATAAACTAATGACTTAGGTTGGATTTGCCCAACACATTAAGCTAAAATGTGATGGTTAGTCTGTGTTTCAAAGGTTCTGCTGATGGCTTGTACATGTGTTCTTAAAAAGTGAGGGATGTTTTCCTAAATA